TAAGAGCTATCTCTAGAGGTAGGGAGCAAGAGATGGCTCTACACATGCACATGGAGGGATAGCCATACTGAGAGGGAGAGAGAGAGAGAGAGAGGAAGTTTTGCATTTTTGTTTACATTTAACGATCGTTCCTATGGCAGCTATATGATATAGTCGTCCGATCTTAATAAAATTAAAACCAAAATTAGAAATTAATACAAATGCCTACCTTAATTTAGATGAAAAATTTTAAAAACTGGAAAAGTTATATGTTTTTCAAAACATTTTCCGATCGTACCTATGCCAGCTATATGATATATATATATATATATAGAATACATATATATCGTAGGAAATTTCTCCTTCCCTGCGTTGCCAATTTGTGACTAATAATTATAGAAATTAATTCCGTTTATAATTTAATTTTTAAGAGTATTTTTCAATTCACGTTGCTTGAGTCCACTTCCCTTGATTGTTTTTATTTACTTGAGCCATTTCTTTTGCCATCTTTTTGCCGCCTGCAACATATGGCCGGCGTTTTTCCCCGATTTGTGCCCAAGAATTTTCCTGCCTTTCGTATCCATTCTCCCCCAGAAAATCACCCAAGGCAAGCCCACCCCACCAACCTCCCCAATGGCAAATGGCAATGAAGATCTCTGGCATTTCTCGGTGGATTTTGATGTGCCAATTGTTTTATTCGTTTTATGGTGCGCCATAAACGAATTTTTAACTTTTGTTGTCCTTGAGGTTTGGCGGCCATTTCATATTGGTGGATATTGGGCTTTTAGAAGGATGGCTATGAGTATGTGTGGCATACATTTATGAGGCCCTTGGCAGCATATGTTGCCGGCGAATATTAGTTTATCACTCGCCATTTTGGATTTCCAAGTGGCTGGGGAAATTAGAAGAGTATTACCAAACTTTTTCATGGTTTATTCGTGGAATTTGTGTGGCAATTAAAGGGCTATGATATCGCCCTTTGCCGCAGAAAATCGTTACAATCCTCCCGAAGGCAATTGGGGAGGAGCGGAACATAACCCCCTTTTACATGTAACACAAAGGCAGAGGCAGATGGAGGAGAAATGAATTGCGCCTTTAAGGTTTTCGTTTAAGTGAAATGTCAGCAACAGAAATTGAATCGAAAATTGTAAAATTGGTTTGTATAAACATTTTTGCCAAATGAAATGAAAACGCTTTTCTTACGACTCTCGACTTGTACCGCTTGCCTCCTGCCTGCCATGAAATTTCATTCTTTTGAATCGTTTTCCTACGTTTCATTTTCTTTTCATTTTTATTTCCCTCTGCTTTTTCCCCAACTAACTCCGCCTGGGCAACATAGCAAAACATCATATTTCTTGTGCCTGTTTTTTATATTTCCGAAACAAAAGAAGGCTAGAAAACTAGAGCCTCCCTTCTTCTTCTGGAACATGTGTATAATTTATTGCTCATACGACCCGTGTGCGTGTGTGGATTGCCTTTCGCTGGAAAAGCGGAAATTCTTTGCTGTATGGAATTGTGGAAATGTCAAAAGTGCGTCAATCAACAAAAACTTCAAGGAACAGAATGGTCAAAGCTCTAGTTTTTGTACAGTGCATTTTTCATCGTTTTTTATATACTTTTGATTTATAAGATCCTGGGAATGGGTTTTGGAACTGGAAACTCTGCTTGGGGAAGGAGAATCTGTTGTTAACACTGGGATTTATGCTTACAGTTGGGATTTATGGGTTCTACACAAAGTATTTTAGAAGAAATATTCTATAAATCAGAGAACAACCACTATATCTTTGAAAACACCAAGAAAAGTCAGTACAATATTCTTCACAAAATCTCCTTTCATTTTATAAATGATTTTCGCAGTTTTTACACTTACATTAAATACACAATAATTTCGTACATCCTCAGCCTAAAGAATATTTAACAAATACATAATATACATAATTAGTGTCTAAGGAGAAACTAGAGAATGAGCGCTCGCATTTTTCACATTGTAAATATTGACTAGTGAATTATTTGTAGCATTTTTATACAAATTCATACGTCTATCTACAAGTTAGTTAGTGGCTAGAGGCAAACCCGTTTTGGCGTTTGATGGATAATGATTGATTGATTCGATGTGTGGTAACTACTGAGTAATGATAATGCTTATGCAGTGGCAAGAACTTCAGGTATGTGTATATGCCACGATTTTGGCCAGAACGAAACTAACATTAAGACAGGGACACACTCACAGGCACAGTCACAGACACGGACACACACCCAGGCACAGATTCACGCCCTAGAAACCTACTTAAAACTAGTCTTAGCGCCTACCACTAAACTATGACTCCCAACTGACTGTTCAGGCTTCCATCGATTATGGCTGTGCGTCCTCCTCCTGCTGACCCTCGCCCAGGCAGGTGGCCATGGGTCCGTGCCTCAGCAGGGAGTAGCTGTCGCGATGGTGCACCAACAGGCGATGCTGCTGGTGGGCTATGAAGCTGCTGCCACGTCTTAAAGAACGCCTCCCATCTCCAGGATCTCCAGCGTGGGATCACGGGCAAACACAAAGTTCTGATAGGTTCGTACCAAGCTGAAAACAATGGCAAAGGCACCGCCGATGATCATCAGGTAAGAGCCAATGGGCACGGCATTCGGGGCAATCACAGTGCCCAAATAAATCCAACGCTTGATGGCCGGCGTCAGCTCCGAGATGCCCTGGAGAAGGTCCAAAGAGAGATTAGATTAGATTTCCGGGTGTGGATGTGATGTGATGACTTACCTCCTCCAGCCACATGACCGGAAAGACAAAGTCTCGAAAATCACGCACTGGATAGACGTCCTTGGCACGCGTCACCTTAAGGTTCAGTTGTATGCGCACTTTGCCCTCCAGCGGTACTCCAAGTTTCTAAGATACATAAGAAATAATTAGGAATTACAAAATTAATAATGATTACTTCCTAAATTAAGTGGTAATAGTAATAAGAAACTCGCACTCACCGGTTGTATTTTGAAGTACGTTTCATGCTTTTCCCGCTCTGGCTTCAGACCCTCCACGGAGTTGAGAAGATCTGGATGGGACTCGAAGAAATGCGGGTTGGATATATAGACGGGGGCTCCATACTGACAGGGACTGATGTTCTGGAGACCCTGCACTGCCTCGTAGTCGTTCGAGTCGTAGCACTTGTTCTCGGATTGTGCGCCGAGTCACCGTACGAATTATTGGGCAGCCTGAACAGATCCGCAGCAATGCCATCCTTCTCTAGGCTCTTCACATACTTCAGAGGTATAATCCGGCACAGATCTTTATCGTAGATGTGTACCATCTCGGACTTGGTGAGGTCTCGTGGCGGAAAGAAAGATCCTTCGGATCCGGCTATACTTGTGCAGGGCTCCTCGCCCCAATGAGGCAGGTGATCCATTCCGTTGAGTGAATCAATATAACCGAACTGATCCATGCTCTCCATTCCCGTCTTGACGGAGGACACCTCCGTGAGCGTTCCATTCCGGCCCAGAAGGAGACCCATCTTTCCATAGGTCTCATGTGCTTTGGGTAAAATCTATGGGCCAAACTCACCAGGGCATCGTCATAGCCAAAGGCCAACTGTTCGGCTGTGACATTAATAAATGGCTTAAACTTGGCCGCTGTTATTACCACCGATATGGTCTTGGATAGTAGGTAACCCAACTTGGGACTAAGGCTCGTGAGGGTCTGTTTGGATAAGAAAAGAATTGATTTAATAAATAAAATATCTATTATCTATTTTTTAACTATATATCTTAACTCTTAAGCTCTTTAGACTTACCAGTAATGGAATATTGGGCGTGACTATGGGCGTGTCCTTATCAATACTCAGTTCAGGAACAAATTGCAGTATCTTCTTATGCTGATATGACACGGTGTAGTTATTCTCGTGAAACTTCACATTCACCTTCTGCATGTCTTCTCTGAAATTGGTAAAAAAAAGAAGGAACACATTTCGTTATCATTGATCGGCACGTGCTGGTAACTCGCTTTCGTGGTCCAAAGCATTCGGAAATTGAATGTCAAGTTCAGTTAGTCTCAGCTTTAAGCCAAAGAAAACTCACAAAAAGAAACGAAACAAACAACATAAAAAAGGGGCTGCCAATAAACATAAAAAGTAACTACAACAGCGAATGACGGGCATCTTTTTGTTTTTGTCATTACACCTAGCAATTCCCACACAAATTAATCTTTAAACTCACTGGTGATCCGATGATTGATCACTTTTGGACCGAACGAACTCTCCTCTGAGGTTATCCTTCGGTAAACGGGTTCCCAGCAAATATGTAATTAAAAAATTGCATTACATTCGCCCGAGCTCTAGATGTTGTAATCTCGCGATCAGCGGAAACTACTCCTCGCAGTGAGCTCATGGCTTAATTGGCCAGCTTGATTGCCGGCCCGCCGGCTCATGGCTTTAGGCCACTTTGATTGAGTGTTAAAATTCGAGCAGCTAATTCCATTGTTTGCACTCTTGCAGTAGCTTGTGTTTAGACTTAGTTTAATCTGATCACGATAGGTTGGTTTATTGAAAGAAATATTAATAGATTTGGAAAAATAGTTTTAAGAAAATTTAAATTATTATTAGAGAGATTATCTGGTTTTGTGGAACCCATTATTTGTTAAGATAATAATGAGATTAATATAATCAAAATCAATTTACAGACTTTTAAAGCTTGTTCATAACTGATTTGATGATTTTATAAAGATTTACCAGACTCAAACTCCTACTCCATCGCTAAATGCTTGAATGTAACATGTAAATTACTTAATTACTTGCTTTCAACTGCAATTTGTAAGCTTTTTTACGTATTCGAAAATAACGTTTAGTTCAAAAAAGTTCAATAGGTTAACTTGTGACCGTTTCCATGGCTAATTTTTGCAGCTACTTGAATTGCTTTTAGCCCTCCATGCGATTCTAATTATGGTTATTAAGACATCAACTTCCGAGTAAACAAAGACCAATGGGAGTGAGAGCGGCTTTACCGCCATAAAAACGAGTATATTTTTCACATACATTGTGGACAATGTTTCGCGCAGCGGCGTAGCGAATGTTTCAATTGGCGGGTTTTATGACCAACAATATTACAATAAAAAAAAAATAAAAACTGAACTGCAACTCACCTGTAAACAAACGGTCCGACCTCCTGCAGCTTGGGCTTCTCGCCGCTGAGGAATCCGTCCGGATTTGTCACATTGTAGATATACAGCTTGGTCAGCCGGATGACCCCGGGCCTCTGCCAATAATGATAGCTCAACGTATCATTCCACAGCCTTAAGTTCTAGAAGGCGAATTCAGATAATTAATAATTTACGTTATTTATAACAGAAATTTTAGGTAAAAACCCACCTTTAGTATAAAATAATCCAGCCAGGGTATGGATGATAAAACTATGCCTAAGATTAAGGTAATTATTCCTATGATTATCACAGCTAGTCTATCTGAAAAAGTCAAGAAAATAAGGGTTATTTAATAAGGATAAATGTGCTTTAAAAAGTAGACTTTATTTAAAAACAAATAGGATGATGTTTGATGTTTCTAGAAAAATATTCTTGCTAAAGACCTACACTGAGTTTCTACGAAAAACTAGAATAACACAATGACTAAACACATCACGACAGCATTTTTGACGTAGAGGTGTAAGTGCCAATAATTGGGAAAACGTACTTTTTTAACTTTAATAATAAATGGCGTGAAAAACTGAAACTTTACTTTGTCATCTTTTCTTAAAATCGTTTAGTTTTGTGTGCAATTTTATAAAGTCAATAAAATAAAGTTATTTGCCGAATTCATTCGAATTTCACGGTGCAATTTCACGGATGTCATCCTCAATTACATCGGTCAACACGATCGCGATCTCGTGGGCGATATATACGAATGATCTTGGCCGACTTATCACAGCACCGGACATATGTCTGACAGCTGCCAAAAATTTATGGTCCTCTGTTATCACTAATTGAAACTTAATCTTTACTTTAATGGTTAATTGGTTCGTGCACTTAGTCTGGTTAACGTACTTGAACACAGAAAGAAATATATGTATATGAAATTGTTAATTTATATCGAAAGATATTGATTTGATTTTATTTAAATAAATTATGATGATATGATATTTGCTTAGACCAAATTCAGTAGTATTAAATATTTCTGATATTATATTGATCTCTATTAATATGAACTTTATTAATATTTTTTCTTTCTGTGCTTTGTTCCCTCCATCACCTTGCTGGCATTTCGGGCGGTGGGTGTGGCCAGCAGCATGTCGCCTGACTGACTGAATCCGCTGATGATTATGATGATGGGCATACAATGCCAACGGGTTCTGTCCATTTTGAGTATGTTATTTTTTATTTTTTTATTTTTTGCATTTGTGGCTGCGGCCGAACGCCCAGAGCCCCCAGTCAACGAACTGATCACCGGGCCGATCAAGAAAAACTGTTTCGCTATCGGGTTTTTCGGCGAAAAAAAGCGCCGCCACTGCCCCGAAAAAGTGCAAGGTGAAGCTCTTTTTTTCTGAACAACATAAATTTCAATTTTATTTAATATTTTATAAAATGCAGCACCGAAGTTGCTTCGATTTTCTAACAGGTCACTAAGTCAAAAAGACTGCCGTCAGCGGGATACGAATTATATTGCTAAAAAGCATGACAGATAGGTAGTTGAAGATTTATTGAATTTAAAATACACTTACATATTGTCTTGCAATTAAAATTGTTTAGATATACTTTTATTGAAATTTTTAAGTAAGTTTTAATTGTTTGAGTGCCAAAGCTATTCTAGCAATAATATAAGTGTATTATATTCTAGATATATTTATAAATTAGTGACGCAATGTTAATAAAGCTAAGACCCCTGTGAGGGTACTAAATAATAACCGGGAGACAGACATCTGTATTGTGAGTGCCATAAATCAGCTTGGAAATTCATTAAACTCGCATTGAAAATGGGCGCGATAATTGCTGTCAAAATATAGACGGATTATATACTTTTTTAACTTCGGGCGGCTTCTTTATCGTTTTTACCATGTTCCACTGACCCTGAAGAGTCTTGTCGGCCATAAACTGTGTCCCAGAGAAAGTTACGCAAAAAAGTAAAAAGCAGAAAAGGTAAGTGAAAAGGTGTGCAAGTGTCATAAAACGAGACACATAACAATGTTTTTTTGGGCCTTACAGACAAGGTCAAGGGAAGCCAACAACGACGGAAGGAGACCTCAATGGAAGGCTTTATCTTCAGTCCGGTTATTTGGTTATTTGGAGTTACTGCTCTTCTAAGCCGCCGGATAATGTTACTGCAATCGAACATTGGATCGGGGACCCAAGATATAGCCATAGCCACTGCGATATGGTCACTAAACAAGTGGCACACAATTGATACGTCGACCAACTGACTAACTGACTGTTGACAATTATGCTGATCCCAGTCCAAGCAATTTTTGTTGCCACTTATTTTGATGTTTCGGTTTTGAGTTATGTTTTGTTATTTTGCGGCTCGTTTTTGCCATTTCGTTTACCTGTTCGAAGCGGGCAGTGAGGTTTTTAGTTACAACAACAGCAGGGGTGGGACAAAAGGGGAACTGGGATAATAATATATATATTCTTAGTATAAAAAAAATTATTTTAAAATTGCATTATATAAAAATAGATTTTTAAGATTTGTTTCTTGCCAAAAATTTGGCTTAGAAAAATCATTTTTTCTTGTAAGTAGAACAGGAAAGTAATCCATGTTTCGAAATGTTTGTACGTAATAATTATAATAATAATTGTCATTTCAAATTTGTTTCCTTAAGTTTTCCCCTTGAATTCGTAAACATTAAAGTTGAATCATCTTCTCTGGTACCCCTTACGATAAGCCCCTGCTACAATTGGATTTAGCCGCTGGTGTCATATGCTCGTTTCTTTTACAAAATTACAGCTGAGCACGCGATATTCACAATTCCGAGCTTCTAGTCTCCGAAGCTAAATGAAACCACGCACAAAGGTTAAATAAAAGCGTTAAGAGCGAAGCGAGACAACCTTTAGAGCAATGTAATGGACTCTAGATTATGAAACATTTAAAATAAATGATATAAAATTTGGGAGGTGTAAATGGCATTACCCTGGGAGGTCTGCATACTGGCAAATAACTCAACTTAATCCAACATTTAAATTAACTTAGGAATCGCTAATAAATCTGCATACTTTTTTGAAATTTAAAATTTCAATTTTTTGCAAATTTTGACAATTTTAATGATGTAACTTATCTTTTTTTGACATTTTGGAAAAAAATGCAAAAATTTATTTTCCAAGACATGGCTAGATCGATTCAGCTGTTCATTCTGATCAAGAATATATATATTATAGGGTCGGAAATGATTCCTTCATTGTGTTCTAAGCTTCTGATTAATACTAATACCCTAAAAAAGGTATAAAAACAGGCAATTTTTTTAATAATCAGTGTTTTTCAAACATCATAATTAAGCAAAAATCGTATCAATTAAATTCGGAAAGTTGTCGTGAAAGATTAAGGCGCTAACAAACTCTGCATACTGCGTTGTTGATGCTATTAAAAGATTCTTACTAAAATTAAATAACCTGCAAAATGGTGTAAAAACATCAATTTTTTTTAATAACAGTGTTTTTCAAACATCATAATAAGGCAAAAATGCGTTAATTGAATTTGAAAAGCTGTCGGTTAGTTTTTAAAGCGCTAACAAATCTCATACCAGTTTTTGAATTTAAAAATTCAATTTTGCCAAATTTGACAATTTAATGATCTTTTACTTATCTTTTGACTTTGGAAAAAAAGCAAAAATTATTTCCCCCAAGAATGGCTAGATCGATTCAGCTGTTCATTCTGATCAAGAATATATATAATTTGTGGGGTAGGAAATGATTCCTTCATTGTTATAAGCTTCTGATAATACTAATACCTAAAAAAGGTATAAAAACAGGCAATTTTTTTAATAATCAGTGTTTTCAACATCATAATTAAGCCAAACTCGATCAATTTCAATTCGGAAAGCTGTTCTGTAAAGTATTTAAGGCGCTAACAAATCTGCATACTGCGTTTGTTGATGCTATAAAAGGTTCTACTAAAATATAATAACCTGCAAAATGGTGTAAAAACAGTCAATTTTTTTTAATAATCAGTGTTTTCAAACATCATAATTAAGGCAAAAATGCGTAATTTCAATTTGAAAGGCTGTCTGTTAGTTTTTAAAGGCGCTAACAAATCTGCATACTCATTTTTGAATTTAAAAATTCAATTTTTGCCAAATTTTGACAATTTAATGATGTACCCTTATCTTTTTTGACTTTTGGAAAAAAATGCAAAATTATTTTCCCCCAAGAGATGGCTAGATCGATTCAGCTGTCATTCTGATCAAGAATATATATGATTTATAGGGTCGGAATGATTCCTTCATTGTGTTATAAGCTCTGATTAATATAATACCCTAAAAAGGTATAAAAACAGTCAATTTTTTTAATAATCATGTTTTTCAAACATCATAATAAGCAAAAATCGTATCAATTAAATTCGGAAAGCTGTTCTGTGAAGTATTTAAGGCGCTAACAAATCTGCATACTGCGTTTGTTGATGCTATTAAAAGATCTTACTAAAATTATAATAACCTGCAAAATGGTGTAAAAACAGTCAATTTTTTTTAATAATCAGTGTTTTCAAACATCATAATTAAGGCAAAAATGCGTTAATTGAATTTGAAAGCTGTTCTGTGTTAGTTTTAAAGCGCTAACAAATCTGCATACTCAGTTTTTGAATTAAAAATTCAATTTTTGCCAAATTTTGACAATTTTAATGATGTAACCCCTTATCTTTTTTGACTTTTGGAAAAAAATGCAAAAATTTTTTTCCCCCAAAGGTGGCTAGATCGATTCAGCTGTTCATTCTGATCAAGAATATATAATTTATAGGGTCGGAAATGATTCCTTCATTGTGTTATAAGCTTCTGATTAATATAATACCCTAAAAAAGGTATAAAAACAGCAATTTTTTAATAATCAGTGTTTTCAAACATCATAATAAGCAAAATCGTATCAATTAATTCGGAAAGTTGTTCGTGAAAGTATTTTAAGGCGCTAACAAATCTGCATACGCGTTGTTGATGCTATAAAAGATTCTACTAAAATTATAATAACCGCAAAATGGTGTAAAAACAGTCAATTTTTTTAATAATCAGTGTTTTTCAAACATCATAATTAAGGCAAAAATGCGTTAATTTGAATTTGAAAGCTGTCTGTGTTAGTTTTAAAGCGCTAACAAATCTGCATACTCATTTTTGAATTAAAAATTCAATGTTTGCCAAATTTGACAATTTTAATGATGTAACCCCTTATCTTTTTTTGACTTTTGGAAAAAAATGCAAAAATTATTTTCCCCCAGAGGTGCTAGATCGATTCAGCTGTTCATTCTGATCAAGAATATATATGATTATAGGGTCGGA